TATATACATAATATGCATTTATATAATGTATAAAATGAGCTATAGCCGATATATCGATAACAATGATGATTATTATAGCAAACGAAAGCTAGTCGGTCGATAACGATTATTGGTTAAAGCTAAAGCAAATATACTATAAATATAAAACAACTGAAAATGGCATGGCTTAAATTTTATATGAAAGGAAGTTATCAATGTTATCGATATTACTGATGCAATAGCTTGCCAATTCGATCGATTGACTTATATTTTGCCCTATCGATTATTCAAGTATTTGCCTGAAGTGGAACACAGGTAGTTTAAATGGTAGTTCTATAATCATATATGTGTAGGTACATATACTTAAAGTATATAATTACTCGTTTATCGATAGTTTACTCAATGAATACCAACAATGAATCGGTATAGGTCTATTTAAAATTGGTTGATTGTAGTCGAATGACATATAAAACCTATCGATTATCGATAGCACCGATCGTGAGTGACTGCCATCGCTGACAGAACAAGTGGCTGTCATTAATAATTAATGAGATCGAGTTAAGGGTGTTGCCAGGTCCCAGGTCCCAGGTCCCAGGTCGTCAAGTGCTCAGGTGTTAGGGGCTGGCAACCCACAACACGTGCGTGGCAAGCAACAATGAATTGGATTTTCGCTGCCGCACAAACGAATTTCGGCCATTGTATCTGGAGAGCAGCAACTGTATCTGAGAGATACTTTCAGCTGAACGCATCATCAGGCAGCCGCAGCCGCAGCAGCAGCAACAGCAACATCATCGTCTCGAGAACTGCGACCTGCATAGCCGTGAGGCAATTTACGAAATGCAACGCGTCCGGAATCGGGACACCGTTGCGACTGCCAACAGCCAACAGGCAACAGTCGACTGCTGACTGCCGACTGCCGACTGCCGACTGCTGGCTGCCAGGGGTCGGGGTCGGGGCCGGGGCCGGGGCCCACAAATGTAATACACACATCAGGCAAATAAATTAGAAGGCAACTCCTTTGGCAGAAGCGTCAGGAGCGCCGCGCCCCCGTCCAGTTCGTTTGCCTCGTTCGCAGTCGTACAAAATGGAGCCAGCGCGCTGCGGCGAGTAATGCCGACAATCCGTCATGCAGGTGTGAATGATTCATTAATTTCTCGCCTTCATACGAATTTTCAGTTAACATGCAAGCGGAACCAAAACGAGCCGCCGCAAAAGAGTTACGCAGCCAGCGACGTCGACAGCAGCAGCGGCAGCGGCAGCGACAGCGACTGCAACTGCGACGCATGCCTGCCAGCCACAGAGGCAGATCCCAAGTCGCGAGTCCCAATTTCAGACTCGCAATCCGAGTCTCAGTCTTACTTCAAGTCCAAGTCCCAGGCGCAGTCGCAGTCCCATCCCCAGCCTTAGCCCCAGCCCCAGCCCCAGCCCCAGTCTCAGCCTCAGCTTAACGTCTTCATTACGCACGGCCAACGTTTCCGCTCCGCTCCGCTCCGTTTGCCGCTGCCAGTTGCCAATTTCGTTTTGCATTTTCAATTTTGTGGCATTTCCTTCGACCAGGCAGCAACAGCGGGTGGGCATGCCCCCATGGCCTCTGCTCCTGCCCCTGCCCCTGCCCCTACTCCTGCTCCTCCATCCTCCATCCAGCTCGAGCTGCACCGCTGTGCGTTAATTACCTGATGAGCCCAAGGATCAAATGCCAATTTACACCTTTTCGGCTCTGTTTATATTTTTTTTTGTTAATTCATTTATTATTATCCTCTTCTTTTTTAATTGATTCGAGGCCCAATTAAATCTATTTTCAGTGTGCGGCTTATTAGCCAACTTACAGTTGGAATGCTCATCAATAGAGCCATTAAATACAGCATAAAATGTGAATTTGAATATGAATAGACTCTCATGGATAAATGAACTAATTGCTTACCAGATATGATAGATTATGAATACTCCCAAATATATATATGAATATGCTTGTATTTAAAAATAGTTTGATAACAAGTAATTGAATGTAGATGTACTCATGAATATATTATCGAATACTTTTCTACACGTGCAGTTTTAAATATAGTGATGCAAATATGAAAAAGCATTTAAATATTTTGATAATATTGTATGAAATTGTTTTATAATAGTTTTTGTGAAAATATAAAGTTGGTTTATATATATGCAGACTAAAGATGCTAAGGCTTTCGGATTGAGTTGGAGATACATAAATTCGATCACAAATATATTCAAGAACTTTAGTGCATGTACTCAGGAGTGTATGATAATCTATGTAAAAATACCACATAATAAATCAACAGAAGGTAAAAAGAGTTTCGAATCTAGATCTATAACATCATGAGTGTATGAGTGTAGTATAAATCAGAAATATATACACTAAAAAAAAACATTGAACATACTCATTCTACTCGTAAATGAATGTATCATGAATATACGCCTAAATAGGCTATTGAGTGCCTGTGAATATTCCAAAGAGTATGCGCTAATATAAACAACCTTCAATAACTCTCTATCAGTGAATACAATATGAATGGTAATATTTGAATATAATCACATTTATAAAGAGAGACAGAGATAGAACGATACAAGATAAATTAGATAAATGAACTGAAGTCATTTTGCGAATAATAACACTCACCGACAATAGATGCACCCATTGAATACACTGAATGCTAGGCAAGCATTCATTTAGCTGCACTTGCGTGCATTTGTTTTATTCACTTACTGCTGCTTTAGCACTCATTTCGACGTATTCAATTGACCATTCAGTCAGCCAGTTATTCACACTTCTATTCACACATTTCGCCTGCCAATTTGCTGTTCACACGGAATCCTCCAGCTGAGTCCCACTCCCAATGCCCAAGCCAATCCGATTGGAGTCCAGCGCTTCTTTGGCTCGTAAAATGCGCTGAATGATTTTTGGCTGCTGCTTGGATGCTGCTGCAACCTGTTGTTGTTGTTGCCGTTGTTGTTGCCGCTGCTGCTGCAGCTTAAAACAACAACAATTCATGTTTTTTATTACACCTACTTTGAGGCTTGAGCCGAGCTGCGTCTCTGCACAAAAATGAAGGCGTTAACCAACTTTAATACATTTATTTGGGCCACAAAACCAAAATAAACAACTGAGCAGTCGACAATAGGGAAGAGCACGACTTGCTGATACCCTATACCAGCAGCTGTAGTCAATGGACAACGATTGTAAAGCATTTCAATTATAAATGTACATTAATTTTTGTCTGTTTCATATCATTTGCTGACAAGAATAGAAATCATCAGGCAAAAAAAAAAAAAACAAATAATAATTAAATGTAAACAAGTTTTTATTGCAGTTTTAATAGTCATAATAATTTAAATAAATTTTGTATAAAGAATAATGTTATAAACTGTCTTGGCTGGAAGAAGAAGACTAACTTGGAAATGTATATGTTATACATATGTAA